TAATTTAAGAGGTTTGCTCCAACTCAAGTCTGCTTGGGAAACCCCAGGAGCGTTTAGCTGCCACGGACCATACAAGTGGAGGCAGTCCTTGAAGCACGGATCAGGCGGAGGGGTACGAGAGCTGCCGTCAGCCCCACGCAACCCTCGGAGTCGTCTCCTGTCCCATGGTCGGCAAGTGCTGATGAGCCTGATGCGGTGCTTTGATCATCTGTCCCCGGCCACGAGGAACTCAAGTCAGTGTTGTGTTTATTTACACCAGTTGCATAAAGTCTCTCTTCTTTTCTTTCCTAGTTTTTGATCTCCTGGCTCGCTGCTTCCTTGCTACAGATGCACGTGTGTGTTAGGGGGTGTTAAGGGGCATGAGGCTGCTCATGAAAGACTTGCAGATCTGGGGTTTCGGTTCTCATCACTGCCCTTGGGTCTTCCCAAGGAGCAGAAGGATGGGCCGTTTCAGCGTCAAACTGGGAGAGACTCTTTGGGGAAGAAGCGTGAGGTTTTCAGCCCTTTACGAGAAGGGAGCTCACTGCAGAAGATGGCCAAGGGGCCGCTGTCAGGGGTCGCAGGAGGGAAGGCGGCAGCACCCCACTGCAAGAACACCCCGTCTTTGAGCCCTCAACCACAGCCCTCGAGTGTTTGCTCAGCCCTACCAGGAATGCTTTTCTCTATGTCCTAGAAAGTGGCCTCCCAGGAGATGGACAGATGTCCCCACCAAGCCACCAACCCTACCAGTGCCCAGCTCTCTGCCTCGGCCACCCTCATCCTCAAATTACCTGCAGAGAGCAAGGCGGGGGATGAGGGACTGGGAAAAGGGGGGGCTTTGGGGTTGAAGGCACAGGACAAGGGGAACCAGCAGTGGGAAGGATACTGGGAAAAAGGGACCCCTGGCATAAAACATCTCCTGTACCACCCAGGCAGAAATACACCCCACACTGCTGTACTTCCCAACGGGTTTATATGCTTGCTAGGGTGATCATCCAGCTCCGCCAGAACACCACGTGGCACTTGGCCTTCCTCCGCTTGCAGCTTTGCCCGGTTACCTCCTGCCAGCGGGACTGGGGGGCTGTAGGTAACTCTTTAGCTGGGGTGGGGGGGGTGTTGCATTTTTTTCTGCCCCCTTTCCTCCTCCAGCAGATGCTGGCTCCACTTAGCCCTTTTCTGTGACACTTAAATGACACACCTCCTTGACTCATTAAGCCCAAACTCGTTAATAATCATGCAGGATGGAAGGGGAGGGGATGGAAAAAGGGAGGGAGGGAAGTCTTAAACCCAAATTAGCGTCTCTAAGCACCCAGGTGTTGTAAGAGAAAGAAACTCCCCAGCACTAGCTCAGCCTGTGCTGGGAGAAGCCTTTGTTACCCTGCAAAACATAGTAATTGCGCAGGCAGCTGGGCTGGCAGGGAGACAAAACCCCAGGGCCCAGGGCCGCCCAGGCAGGCAGGGCCCTCCTGCCCCTGCCTGCGGCTCCCTTG